AATTGATGAGAATTTTGTCAATTTTTTTACGAAAATTTAGAATCTTGACAATGAAATTCTAAATAAAGAGTCTAGAAAAGACAAAAGTATAATTGAGGAGATAATAATATAAGAAATAAGAAAAAAAAAAACATTTAAAAAGTAAAATAAGGATAAAGATGGGGTGACAATTAAAGAAAATCAGGGAAAAAAGAGAAGGTGAAATCAAGTTGAATGACAAAAAGAAAAGATTAAATGAAAAATAAAAGAAAAATGTAAATAAAAGTAAAAGAAGAACAAAATAGAAATAAAAAGTGTGAATTAAGTATAAATGAAAAAGGAAAAAAACTAAATAAAAAAGAGAAGAATAAAGGAAGAAGAAGTATAGATTAGATTTAGGAACAGAAAAATAAGAAAAACAAAACATAAAAATAAAAACATTGTCATAAGTTATTGATCAACACATGAATCATGATGAACTATCAAATCCACCAAATTTTCTTAACGAAATGATTTTGAAATCTTTACAGCCGATACAGCTTTGGTAAAATGTGGTGTTAATTTTTATCTTTAGCTTAAAGTTTGTTTTCAATTAATTCACTTCCAGAATGAGGGGGGGGTCATTTAACAATATGCCCCCTATAATTCTAGAAGTAAAAAAAGAGTATTTCATCTCTTCATTATTAATCCTTTCTTGTTGTTTGGCTATTTACTCATTTAATCTGTTATTTGACTTTTCAGTTGACAATTTCATTATTCGTTTATTCTTTAATTTACCTTTCAACTTTTTAGTAATTCCAATGTGCAAATATTATTTAATTTATCATTATTAATTTATTTAAATTTATAATTTAATACGTCTGCAGAAAATTTGAGAACTGGGTTTTAATTAGTCTTTGTGCAAAATCAATGTGTTCTTAAAGGGAGTGTTCGCGAAAAATGAAAGGGGGTATAGGCTTGATCGCTACTAATCTCTGTTGCGTCTATAAGGAGAAAATTGTTAAAAACGACTCACACCGAAGAACGCAGCGTCCATACAAATTCTGAAAGATGCAACATTCAACTCCGGAGAAAGGGTAGAGTATAGAATGATTAGTTTGGAATTAAATCTGAGTCGAATATTACAACTTTTAGCTAATTATATATTATATATATATGCTGTTTTCTTCAATGCATTTTTTTCGGCATGAATCAAACAATACTCAATACCCATTTTATCAGAAGCTTCAGGGTAATTATCAAATTAATCAAATTCATCTCACCATTTAAAGAACTTCAGTTGCGTCTTAAATTTGAGACACGGCTTAAACATGGTTTGTTCTACTCAAAATTGTATTCAGTGCTTCGATATTTGAGCTGGCGCTCAATTGGAATTGGTTTTTGGCGGTTTAAATCTTTATATTTACTTTGCTTATCTGTTTGTCTGTTTGTTTGTATCCAATAAACGTCAAAACGGCTGAACCGATCGGACCCAAATTTTGTGTGGGTCTTAACATGTTCCCAGTGAAGGTTTGCAGATTATCAAAATTTCAAAATTTGCCTCAAACAAAAATGTTCACAACTGAAATAGAAGTTGGGTGCGAAGCGCCTTAAAAGCCTAGTTCTTTAAATTCGGCCTCAGAAGGAGATGATTCATTTTAACATTTAGCGTACCGTACCGATTTAGCGTACCGTACCGATTTTCCGACCTATCATTTTCGGTCTAAAAGTTTGTCCGATGCCTGGAATGTGCCTGAGTTGTAATGTAATACCATAAAGTTCTTTGGTTTTTCATTTTTCGCGAACACTCCCTTTAAAGTTCTTTGGTGTTTCATTTTCGCTTTGTAGCTTCAATTTTTTATTAATTATTGTTTCATATTGTAATGATGCTTCTAATTAGCTAAAATGTTTGATTAAGGTAAAACTTTTATGGTATTAAATTTAATTATTAAAAAACGATAGACTTTTATTAAAGGGTAAAAAAATCTTCAATTCTGTTTTACAAAATGAATTATTTAGAGTATATTTTGATTATAATTAAATTAGAACAATCACAGGATTTCACAAGAAAGCATAGGAAACTTAAATTCTGTTTAAAATTTATGCCATTTGAAAAAAAATTTAAAAAGGTTACCAAAATTATTTCTAAAGCAGTGAGTGTTGATCCATAGTTTAAATTTTATGTTCCAATTTCGTAATTTTTTAAAAGCAATTTGAATGTCGTTTTAGCCTTTCCAAGAATCCTAAAAATCCTTGTGTGAATGACAGAGAACACCGCGTGCTAATGAAGGAAATATTACACTAACCAGCAGCTAAGAAGCAGCTACACTGCCCGGTCAATTCAAGACAATCCTTGCAGGGGTGTAGACAGGGACAGGGTGTCATAATAAACAGGGGACTTAAGAGACGACTTAAAAATCGTGTTTTATATCTTAAAGTCAGTTAATAATAAAAAGTTTATAAACATTATGTTCTTTTTAAGAGGTTTTAAAAATGTGGTCTTTCTTCTTTTGTATCATTAAGATTGGCGGAGAAATTAAACAGTTGACCAATTTTGCTGTTAATTATGAAATTGGAATATGGAAAAAATGCTTAATATTTCATTGAATTTAGAAGGTGCAAAACTATAGACCACAAGTTTTAAATCCCAAGACTGGTAGTCTTTGTTCTTCCCTGTGATTTAAAGGTTGAAAAAATCGATAAGAATTTTGCCAATTTTCTACTTAACAACTAAAGCTAAAAACAATAGTTCTAAAGTATGCATGTTTAGGGCTACAAAAAGACAAAAGTGAGTCAAAGCGGTAAAATCTAAGACCAAGGCGTTGTGACATTTTAAAGTCGACACTGTCTTGAAAGTTGATGCATTTTTTCATCTACTTTAATTGTGTTCACAAAATAATGCCACCTGGAACAAAGACGATATAGAACTCGGAATCTAAATCCTATGTTTAATGGGACACCCTGTAGGTAGGTAACCAAGTAGACAGGAAGATAGGTTATTTGATAGATAAGTAGACAGCTAACTAGATAGATAGGTATAGACAGGCAGATAGGTAGTCAGTTCCACTGGCAGACAGAAAATCAGGTAGATAAATCGATATAGGAAGATAAGTAATCAGGTACACAATTAGACAGGTAGGAATGTAGACAGTTAGACAGGAAATCAGACAGACAGACAGACAGGAAAGGTAGAAAGGTAACAAGGTAGATCGGTAGACAGGTAAATAGGTAGAAAGGTAACCAGGTAGACAGGTAGACTAATCAACAAGTAGACAGGCATGTAAAAGAACAGGTACACCGGTAGATACGTAGACCGACAGATAAAAAGACAGGTAGGTGAGTATATGTACCGATGGCTAAATATAGACAATCGGATAGGTAGAAAAAAAGGGACAAAACGATGTAAATATTAGACAGTATAGTACACCACCAGAATTGACAGCACCCATTGTTCATATAGTGAATTGCCCCTCCTGTTTTCATAAAATAGAAAGATTTTAGTTTTCTGACGTCACAAAACAAGGCCGGAGGAGAAAAATTACAAGAAATGAATCATTTCACATAGAACTATAGACAGTAGACAATAGTAGATAATTCATAGAGAACTATAGACAGTAGACACTAGTAGATAATCCATAGAGAACTATAGACAGTAAACACATAATCTATAGTGAACTACAGACTGTAGACACTAGTAGATAATCTATAGAGAACTATAGACAGTAGACACTAGTAGATATTCTACAGAGAACTATAGACAGTAGACACTAGTAGATAATTCATAGATAACTGTAGACAGTAGACACTAGTAGATAATCCATAGAGAACTATAGACAGTAAACACTAGTAGATAATCTATAGAGAACTATAGACAGTAGATACTAGTAGATATTTCAGAGAGAAATATAGACAGTAGACACTAGTAGATATTCTATAGAGAACTATGGACAGTAGACACTAGTAGATAATTCATAGATAACTATAGACAGTAGACACTAGTAGATATTCTACAGAGAACTTTAAACAGTAGACACTAGTAGATAATATATAGAGAACTGTAGACAGTAGACACTAGTAGATAATCTATAGAGAACTACAGACAGTAGACACTAGTAGATAATCTAAAGAGAACTATAGACAGTAGACACTAGTAGATAATCTATAGAGAACTATAGAAAGTAGACACTAGTAGATAATCTAAAGATAACTATAGACAGTAGACACTAGTAGATAATCTACAGAGAACTATAGACAGTAGACACTAGTAGATAATCTATAGAGAACTATAGACAGTAGACACTAGTAGATAATCCCTAGAGAACTATAGACAGTAGACACTAGTAGATATTCTAAAGAGAACTATAGACAGTAGACACTAGTAGATAATCTATAGAGAACTATAGAAAGTAGACACTAGTAGATAATCCATAGATAACTATAGTTAGTAGACACTAGTAGATATTCTAAAGAGAACTATAGACAGTAGACACTAGTAGATAATCTATAAGATAACTATAGACAGTAGACACTAGTAGATAATCTATAAGAGAACTATAGACAGTAGACACTAGTAGATATTTCAGAGAGAAATATAGACAGTAGACACTAGTAGATATTCTATAGAGAACTATAGACAGTAGACACTAGTAGATAATTCATAGATAACTATAGGCAGTAGACACTTATAGTAGATAATCTACTATAGACAGTAGACACTAGTAGATAATCTATAGAGAACTATAGACAGTAGATACTAGTAGATAATCTATAGAGAACTATTGACAGTAGACACTATTAGATTATCTTTAGAGAACTATAGACAGTAAACACTAGTATATAATCTATAGAGAACTACAGACCGAAGACACTACTAGATAATCTATAGAGAACTATTGACAGTAATTTGTTAGAGTTTCCTTCTATTAAACTTGGCAATATCTTTATCCTAAAAAATGGAAAAACATTCCTTTCAACCAGGGGGGCTGGATCTTAGCTATACCTCTCTGTGTATATTAGGTCGAGTGTACAATTATGACAGTTTACTGATAAAGGATATTAAGAGATTAAGGCCGTATATGCAGTACAAACATGAAAAATGCAGTACGCTTTTGGAGTATAAGTGTATGGGGAGGTTTTGTATCTTGAATTTACTGTCGTTTTCTCAGAACCGTTTATAAAAAGACTGTAATAGTTTGTCTTCCTGTGAAAATGGAATCCTGTACACGATAATGGTGTAGTGGATTTTAATAGTTAAATGGAAATAAATTCTCCATTTATATATTTTCAGAAATCACCCTTGAGTACTATAACATACAGATCTAACCTTTGAAAGTGGAATACTTAGCCTGTACAATTAGTTAAGTATTGGCAAACATTATCACTTTATCTTCTATAACCTAGTTGGTTTCAACACGTTTGTTTTTGAGTCGTTTTCTTCTGTCATGGTGAAAATGTGACATACTGAAGAATATGTGCCAAATCTTGACCATGAGAGAAGAAATACGCAAAAATCGACCCAAGAACAAACCGACTGAAGGCACTACTTGCGGATTTCTTGCTAAAGAATCAATGCATGGAGTCTTGAGAATTAATTCCTTTTAAAGCTAAAACATTTTTGGTAACTTGAAATTTTAATAAGTCTCTATTCAAATTTGAACAATATATAATATATTTAGTCTCTCCCATGGTCTATTTACTGTTCTATGAATAACCGTCTCTATGACCCTGCTATAACAAGTCCTGTTTCTATGACCTTGCTATAACAAGTCCTGCCTCTATGAACCTGCTATAACAAGTCCTGTCTCCATGACCTTGCTATAACAAGTCTTGTCTCTATAACCCATCTTTAATAAGTCTTGTCTCAAGAAACCTAGCTATAACAAGTCCTGTCTCTATGACCTTGCAAATAAGTCCTGTCTCTATAACCTTGCTATAACAAGTCCTGTCTCTATGACCTTGTTATAACAAGTCATGTCTCTATGACCTTGCTATAACAAGTCCTGTCTCTATGACCTTGCTATAACAAATCCTGTCTCTATGAACCTGCTATTACAAGTCCTGTCTCTATGACCTTGCAATAACAAGTCCTGTCTCTATGACCTTATTATAACAAGTCCTGTCTCTATAACCCATCTTTAACAAGTCTTGTCTCAAGAATCCTAGCTATAACAAGTCCTGTCTCTATGACCTTGCAAATAAGTCCTGACTCTATAACCTTGCTATAACAAGTCCTGTCTCCATGACCTTGCAATAACAAGTCCTGTCTCTATAACCTTGCTATAACAAGCCCCGTCTCTATGACCCTGCTATATCAAGTTCTGTCTCTATGACTCTGCTGTATCAGAACAACTCCTATCTCTATGTCCCTTCTGAATCAGAACTAGTCCTGTCTCTATGACTCTGCTGTATCAGAACAAGTCCTGCCTCTATGACTCTGCTGTCTCAGAACAAGACCTGCCTCTTTGACCGCACTGTATCAAAATAGGTCATGTCTCTATGACCCCACTGTATCAGAACAACTCCTGCCTTTATGTCCCTGCTGTATCAGAACAAGCCCTGTCACTATGACCCTGCTGGATTAAAACAACTCCTGTCTATAGAGAACTATTGACAGTAGACACTATTAGATTATCTTTAGAGAACTATAGACAGTAAACACTAGTATATAATCTATAGA